TGTTTTTTTTTTTTTTTTTTTTTTTTTTTACTTTGGTCAAATTACATTCATATTCTGTGAAGCAACACAAGTGAATGAATTAAAAATGAATGAGAACATCCCATACCTTGTCTGGAGGATGCCCCTGTTGCTTGATTCACATGATTGTTAATGTTGGGATTGTTAATTAAACTAAAAGAAAGCACATTATATAATGAATGGGCAAAATAATCAATATTGTTTCAGCCATTTATGAAGTAGTCATTTAATATAGTGTTACCTTTTACTGTAACACTGTCCTTGGAATTTACTATTCATGCTATATGGACCATTATCTGCAAGACTGAGGTCTTCATCTTCTTCCTTATAATCCTCAAACTCTACATCATAAAGATCCTCTTCTGCAGCAACTTCACCCTTTCAAGACAAAATTAAAGTTAATAACACTTGATCATCCATAGCATTACCCAACTTATTTGATCACAAAATCATCCCAGCTATTTGAGCACATGTATTTTACTTCTTGATAACTCAATTAAAGATGCATGAATTTTATATTTAGTAGATGCTTTTATCCAAAGCAACTTACAAATGTGGACAATGGAAGCAATCAAAATCAACAAAAGAGCAATGATATGCAAGTGCTATAAGAAGTCTCAGTTAGCTTAATGCAGTATACGTACCAAGTTTTTTTTTATTATTATACAATAAATAAAAATAAAACAGATAGAATAGAAAAAGAATAGAGCAAGCTAGTGTTAAGAGGCCTTTTTTGCTTTTGTTAATTGTATAATAAAAAAGAAAACAAATAGAATACAAAAAGATTAGAAAAGCTATTTTTTTTTTTTAAAGAAAACAAGCAGTAGTGCAATTCTGAAAGGGACAAGTTTTTTTTTAAAGAATATAATTAGAATAGAGAGTGCTAGAGTTAGAGGGTCAAAAAAGATGGAAGAGATGTTTTAGCCGATTCTTGAAGATGGCTAAGGACTGGGTTGAGATGGAATTTTAAAATGTATTTTTAAAATTGTATTATTTAATTTTTAAAATGTAAATGTAAACGTAAATTTTATTTGTATTAATTTTATATAATTAACTATTTCTGGTTGCAGCTGTACAAATATAGAGTTAATATGGAGCTCGAATGGTAGTAAGGCCCAAATAAAATCTTTAAACTAGGGCTGCACGATTAATCGAATGCGATTTGTCATGCGCATTTTGACTGTAAAGCCGGTTCTGTAATCAGCAGTAAATCATCATCATGTGATTTCAGATGGAGCAGCATTTACTACACAGAGCCGTAGTTCACTGACAAGTTACGCAAAAAAAAAAAAAAAAAAATCACAGACGATTTTATTGCACGATTATGAAATCGAAGAAATCATTCGCGATAATGACAGCCGTTTGCATAGCTTCTCAGTGAACTAGGGCTCTGTGTAGTAAATGCTGCTCCATCTGAGAGCATGTGAAAATACCACATTTAATAACATATTTTTACTCCAAACATAACGTCAGTTGAGTGTTTGAAATAAATCCTTCTGTGAGATGATGTGGCTTCTTACACAGAATAAGGCATGCAACATATTTCATAGTATTTAAGCAGTGATAAAGGCATTCCATTATAAATACTTTATTTGAATAAATTATAATAATAAGAACTCAGATAAACCGAATATTGCCGTAGTCGTGTGTTTATTAGTCACGTTGAATCAATGAAAGCAGCTGAATCTTCTGTTTATCCAGCTACCGCTATAGGCATTTCCTGGGTTTCTTCTGCAAGGCGTATTTGGCGTTTCAGCGCGAGAGCGCCCTCTGACCTTTGGATGGAGATTTACTGCTGATCACAGAACTGTGCTTCACTGAAAGATACGCATGACAATCGCAGCTTCTGTCGAACCGCGATCTCGATTCCATTTCGATTTATCGTGCAGCCCTACTTTAAACAATAAAGTAATATCGTTTAATATTAATTTTATCATACCATTTTGGATTAAAAAAAGTCATGTTAATCCAAGAATAAATGCATACGTATTTATTTATTTTTACTTTTACACTTAATGTATTAATACTTTGAAATATACCATTTTAATGTTGTTGTTTTTTTATTCAGAATGATTTTCAATGTTCACAAATAGGATCACGTTGGGTCATGATTTATACGAGGCAGAACATCTTAACACATTAATAAACCATTTAACTATTATAAGGCCAAAATATGGTAGTTGCATCTGTATTATGTTTTATGGATCTTTGATCAATGCATTTTGGCAGGTGTAAATAGACAACTCCTGACCTATCAAACTCAAAAGTAATATATAAATCACAAATGTTACCAGTAAAATTAAATGAGTTTAAAGCTCTTATACAAAAACTACCTATGTAAAACATACTGCATGACTTCCTGACATATAGATAGCTGGTTGTCGGAGTATGTATTGCATTGCACCCTTCCAACCTCCTCAACTGGGTCCGAGTGCTCGTCCTGCTCACCACACGAGCTCCAGCCGGCGACCAGTCCCTCTAACGGCGGCATAACAGGGATCGCGTCCGGGCTGATGCCGTTCGGCGTGATGTGATGGCTCAGGAAATGATCCTCGCATATCTGATGCTGATCTGTGATTTCGAGCCGAGTCTCCCGTAAAGCGGCCAGCCACACTTTCACCCGGGCCTTGTCTTTGGGGAACCTGAAAAACCTCTTGTGCGTACGGCTCGATTGCTCGCCCGGTCTGAGATCACTGTGGTTTATGCATCCTTGGACCACACACTTCGCCATCGTCGCAACACTCTGTCAGATTATATCGCTACATTCAATCAGATCAACGTGCAAGGTTACATACATCACGAGAAGAAAGACAAAACATGATGTCACGTGATCCCGTCCGACCAATCAAATGATTTGATTTTCTGCTTCATGTTCTCTCTATCGGATAAGCGCACCTAGTGACATCTAGTGGAATGAAGAAGTAATTTATTTTATACTAAATGTCTCCCAAAAAGCCACATGACAATAAATTACGAATTAGCGGTGCAAAAAAATCACTAAGCTGTACCTAGACTTGATGGTTATAATATTAGCAAACTGAGGTAACCAGTTATGCCTTTATATGGTAACATTTTTACACGGTTTTAAAAAATATATTGCTAATGCTTACAAGCCGTTAGCTGCGGTGATTTACAACCATAGATATGTATACATATTCATACCTATGTTTAAAACAACTAAGTTACACAACTTTGGTTCTTGCTTCGGCATCCCATGTTGAACTCCATCATATCGCCGGGATGACAATCAGGTCTAAAGTGACCGCTACACACCACCGCATTTTTCGAAGCAGATGCAGAAGTGAAGTCCCGTCTCTTCACCTGCACATGCACAGAAGATGGCACCCTTTTTCTTGTTAGGAAACCTGTGGACTCGATTTCCTGACAGGCTGAGTTTGTGCAGCCTCCACAAACACAATAATTTACCATGACGATGATAAACTGAAATACAAAACCTACCGAAAACACTTACTCAGGACTGCTGGTACTGAAGACCAACCCCCCCTCCCTCTCCCTCTCCCCCTCCGAGCGCGGCAAACGACTCCCTCTCGTGACGTAAAATGACGCGATGTTTTGAGACCTGTCAAAAAAACTCACTTTTTCTACTAAATTTGAGCACTTATGTCTTGTAAAACATTTAAAATCCTGCATTAACTTTTCATATGGTATTTTCATGCAAGGTTATATATTCATTTTGTAAAAAAATAACCTGCAATATGACTAAACCGCTTTCCGTTCCGTATTTTTTCGTAGATGTATAATTATTTAATATAAGAGTGTGCTAGCGATTTACCGACTCGTTAAACTGTTTGCATTCTAACTAAACAGCAGAAATGTGGCAAATTACACGCGCTGGATATGCTCATGACTTGATTATATCAACTCCTACGAAGCAGTTTGTTTTAATAAAAATTTATTAATCAAAACATGACAAATAGTAATAATTTTGGTTGCATTGTAAATGTAAATATTAATTTAATTATAAAAATAAATAATACTTTAATGCAGGGGTGCCCACACTCGGTCCTGGAGGGCCGGTGTCCTGCAGAGTTTAGCTCCAACCCTAATCAAACACACCTGAAGCAGCTAATCAAGCTCTTACTAGGCATACTAGAAATTTCTAGAACATACTAGAAACGTGTTGAGGCAAGCTGTAAAACAATAATATTGTGAAATATTACTACAGTTTAAAATAACTTTAATAATTTAATAGTTTAATAATTAGTTTTCTGTTTTAATATATTTTATATATTTCTGTGATTTGCAAAGCTGAAATTTTGCAGCCAATACTAACATGATCCTTCAGAAGTCATTCTAATATTCTGATTTGATGCTCAAGAAATATTTCTTATTATCATCAATGTTGAAAACATCATTTGTTTTTCAGGAGTCTTTGATGATTAGAAAATTCAGAAAAAAGCTTTTGAAATAGAAACTTTTTTGTAACATTTCAAATATATTTTCAATTTCTAGAACATACTAGAAACGTGTTGAGGCAAGCTGGAGCTAAACTCTGAAGGACACCGGCCCTCCAGGACCGAGTTTGGGCACCCCTGCTTTAATGCATAGTACTCAATAACAGCTTTTATAGGCTGTTTTTCTATTTTTATGACATTTCAGATAGCCACGAAATTACGGAGCAGAAGTCGTGAAACAAAAAACAAAAACGTCGGAACTGGTCGAAAGTTTCGCGGAGATGAGTCAGACTCCCCATCAAAGTAAAGTCTGGCACAGTTACCAACGTCTGGCCTTTCAACCAATCAGTTCGGCCGAACGCCAAGTTACGTAATTAATATTCATGAGCGAAGCCTTCACTGTAGTAGGATTTGTAAATCCGGTTGTTTGGCGAACTGTGGGGTGTTGTACTGCCGTTTTTTTACCAGCAGTGGACAGCAGCAAGCAGCAACAGTCTCTCCAGAGGTGGATGTATGTGGGATTGAATCCGGGCGAACTGGGCTGCCACAGTCATAGATAACAGCACAGAACTGATACAATAGCGAAACATGGCTACTGAGACGATATCAGCCTGCACCGGATCCGACTTACTGCAGCCAATAAGCGAGATAACCAACCTTCCGTTAGATCAGGTAACGTTACATTTCTGTTATTTGTATTTTGTGAAATGAGTACTGGAGGCACAAAACCCTCATCACAGCTTTCATTGGCATGCAGGTCCTTCTACAAATCCTTTACAGGCGGTGCACGAAACCATTTGGTAAGGACAATGAAAACGCTGGATTTTTAATGTTTCCTCCCGAAATTCATGACGTCTGGCTGAGCAAGCGCATATTTCCTTCGGGTGGAGTTGATTGTGTGATCGTGAAATGTGTCATTTGCGTGATGAAATGGATGGTGAACTGCTCGAGGATTTGCAAATGTGGACATTAGCGAATTTAATTCATATTCAACATAGATTAATGCAGGCATAGATCACATAATACAACGGAGAAAACAGTAGTCATTGTCAGGCACTTTTTGGAAACGTCACGATGTCGTGCTACCCCAGGGAGTCTTTTTTAAAGGTGTTTTTTTTGGTGATTATCATTTCTGTTTGCTCAGAGTTAACACGCATATATTGCACAGAATGTTTATATATGGGATGCTGCTCATAGCCTAGTGAGCTGTCTATGTAGACAGCATTTTGGGATGACAATGTCTAGATAGGCAGCTCACTAGTTTTGGAGACACAGCTATTGGCACTGTGTGTACCAGAGAGAATGGCAGCTTGGGTAATTGCCTTGTTTTGAGTCCATGTTCTCTCAAATATATGACAAACTAGAACAGCTTCAGTGAAATTGTATGGTCAATGATATGGTGTCATTTTCACCCAGGAAATACTGAAGCAATTTTAACAGGACACGTTGAGTGTTAGACTTTCTCTGCATTGATAAATATCATATTAATCCATTTCAGGTAAATTAAAGATTTATTATTATGATAAATATAATGATATTAGGCCCACATTGCAAGAATTTACACCTGAAATGGTAAGTCTATTATTATTGATTTGTAAATAACTACTGTATTGTATAGCTGTTTTAAGTGAGATGCCAAAGAAACCAAAAACCATGACCTAAGGTCAGGGACAGAGGCTTATGGAGTGTACATCATATTCTGAAGATAGATGCTGCTGGTTCTAATTACCTTTCTCTGTGAAATATTTGACAATGGTAATTGATAGAAGTTAATTAGAGCTTTTTGTTTAAAAGCATTTTAACCTTAACCTTTTACTCCGACCAAATGATTGACAAGATTTTATTGACGTTTGGACACAGGCCATAGTTTTATGCAATATCTAACTTTGTAAAAAATGTCTTTAACATATTGAAAGTGTTGATTGTGTGGATTGTTCAGACACTGATTTTGTGAAACCATGAAACAAACACCAAAATGGGCAAGAGTAGTTCATTATTACATTACATCGTTTGATTTCTGTATGTAAGCTTCTATATTGATTTAGTGCAGAGAGGAGTTTGGTAAAGACATTTGAAGAGATGGAGCCAACTGTGTATATGTTTTTATTGCAAACAAAAGGCAAACACTACCGTTCAAAAGTTTGGGGTCGGTGGGATTTTTTAAAAATGTTTTTGAAAGATGTCTCTTATGCTCACCAAGGCTGCATTTGTTTGATTAATACAGTAAAACAATAATATTGTGAAATATTACTACAGTTTAAAATAACTGTTTAATAATTTAATAGTTTAATAATTAGTTTTCTGTTTTAATATATTTTATATATTTCTGTGATTTGCAAAGCTGAAATTTTGCAGCCAATACTAACATGATCCTTCAGAAATCATTCTAATATTCTGATTTGATGCTCAAGAAATATTTCTTATTATCATCAATGTTGAAAACATCATTTGTTTTTCAGGATTCTTTGATGATTAGAAAATTCAGAAAAAAGCTTTTGAAATAGAAACTTTTTTGTAACATTTCAAATATATTTTCGTCACTTTTGATCAATTTATTTTGATCAATTCAATTAAATGTTGCTGAATAAAAGTCTTAATTTCTTAAAGAATCTTTTGAATGGTAGTGCATGTTCTGTATACAGACACTTTAGATAAAGGTTTCATAGAAAAGTTAACTCCTCTAAGCTGTCCTGTTGATGGAGAGTAACTCTAAAGTGAGAACAGACTGTAATGTGAGCAGTACTCGGCTAGCATTGCTCTGCCTCTGCCAGACATTGTACTCATGTAACACTTGGGCCTAAAAGAGAGAGTCACTAATGCATTTTGTCTCTTGTGCAGTTTGTGGTTGGTTTGGATCAGACGGTTTCCCTCGTTCCTACAACAGGATGACTTGTTCTGTTTTGTACACATTACAGCTGCATTCATCAAATTACAGTGCATTTCATCAGTGTTGTTGTGAGGTCACAGCAGGTCAGCAGCTTCAGGGCTTTTAATATTCACATCAAGAACATGCCATTTCACAACTGTGGATGGTTGCGTCAAAAGGTCAAAGCCTAAAGCAAAAATCTCTTTGGTAAAATGTTGTGATCTTTGGCTTCAGAACTGATGTCTTTATGTATTATTATTGTTATTATTAACTCAACACTGACATATTCATAGAAATAGTATGCAGAAATCTGGACTTTTAATATGAAGTGTTGTTTTGTTTTGTTGGTATCGGTCAAAATGTCCATACTGGTTTTCAGTTATCAGTTCAATTAGGCTATAGCATTAGATTGTAATTTTTTTTATTTATTATTTTTTTTTACCAAAATAATATAGAATATTATATACAGCATTTGCCATTTATTGATTATCAGCCATAACATCAAAATAATTATAGGCATCGGCCAAAATTTCCATATCGGTGCATCCCTGGTGCATTTACTGTAGTGATCAGTTCAATTATAGCATTTCAAACT